GCGCCTGGCTGTGCATGGGCGGCTCCAGGTTCGAAGCCTCCTTCTTGGAGCCATGAGCCTCAGCCTGCCTCTTGGGCACTGAGGAGCAGGCAGCACAGGTGCCACACGCTCAGGACCCGTCTGTAGCAAGGGCAAGGAGCGGCACCCAGGCTCGGACCAATGCACCTGTGCAACCTGACGCTGCACGAGGAGCAGCCACGCTGAGCCCGGCTGACACAGCTGGCGGCCTCTCCTCACACCCATGCACTCGCAATGGCCTCCTCACGCCCACCCAGCGCCCAGCCAGCACTCCTCCCTGGGGAGCGCTGGGGCACAAGACGCTCTCTCAGGGTAAGTGTGCTGACCAAGGCACTTGAATCACTGTCACGAGAGTACCATCACTGTCCACAGAGCCCCTGCAGCCACGGCTCCATGGGCCAGTGGTTTGAAACCCCAGGGGCTCCCAGGAGGAAAGACTGAGTGACATGCTTTCAGGAAGACAGCCGCTGTTAGCTGCTTCCTTCTGACCCAGAGCGGGGACATTGTGCACCAGGAACACGGCCAGGTCCTGTGCCATCAAGCAAGGCAGCGGTTCCACTGTCACAGGACCTACAGTCAACTGGAACGCCCTGAGCACCATTGCCCGTGCCCACGGCTCAGTGTTCACAGCAGCCCAAAAGTGGACAGACACAGCCCACACGGCCATCGAGGTGAGGAAAAGTCACCAAGGGTGCCCACGCAGTGACTCATGATGATAGCAGGGACCACCAAGGGGGTGCACACTTGAAAACGGCCAAGACCAGCGGCCACAGGCCAGTGCTACACCCACCGTGTTAGTTATCAAGGGCCCTTTGATCATGCACCCACCCTGGGGGCGCCCCTCCACTGGCAGCCCTGAAACCCAGCAAACCGGCAACAATCGGATCACATAGCAGAGGGTGCTGCCCTCCATAGACTGAAGCCACCGCAGGGCTGGAAGGGACACTGCAAGAACCAGAACTGTTTCACAGAGCCACGTGGTGGCTGCCTTTCACTGGGCAGCCAGGATTGCGTATGAGAAAAGCGTCACCAGGTGGCATCACCACACACTCAGAGAGTGGACGAACCCAAAACGCAGACAAAAGCCCCAAAGACAAGCCAGCTGCCTGCAGGGCCCAGAGCACAGTGACACAGGGAGCATCTGAGGACAGGGATCGTAGATGGCCCTGCTTTCATAAGAAGGTTCAGAGACAGACAGAGAGACGACAGGCAGAAAGAGAGGGAGGCTGGCCGCCTCTGAGACCACCCACCGGCTACACAGCTGAGGAGTCATGGGAGTGAGTTACTGCTGTGGGACATTCGGCCCCACACTTCCCACCTCTTCTTCTTTCTAGAGCTGTGCATGACAGGGACCCCGCTAGAGGGGGCCATCTCCGCCTGCCCAATAGGCCCTGCTGGCCAACGCAGCGCCAGTGACAGGCTGTTGACGCAGCTGTCTGTTGGGATCTTGCCAACTGCACCGCCCTGGTGATGCTGAGAGCACCTTGCTCCATGCACGTGTCACCACCTGGTGATACTGAGAGCAGCCTGCCCCACACACGTGTCACCTGGCTCCATGCCCTATACCCACCTGGCACCATGAAGCCCCTCTACTGGACGTGGCTCCCTTTCCGCCCACTCTCCCTGCAGCGGGGATGGCCCTGCCTCTCCTCGCTGAGTTGTCTGTGACACTCACATTGTTGGAATGGCTTTGAGTCGGCTAGGAAACACACCTGCACTAGCCTCCTATGTGTGCCAAAGCTGGGCGGGGCCGGGCCCCCCAGACAACCTGGTGACTTTGAATTGCGCTGTTGGCCAGAGTGCTGACATCCCATGGCCGACGGGAGATCTAACATGTCTGTCCCCAAGGAGGTCAAGCCAGAGTGCTCCTGAGAGGCAGGGGTGGGGGGAGACTTCCTCTCACATATATACGGTGAGCGTGCTGTCAGGAGGACCCCATCCCTGCAAAAGGACATCAGGCTTAGCAAAGCAGAGGGGCCATCAAGAAGGAGGAAGCCTTTGAAGGACCTGGCCAACAGTGGCCGCAGCCCTGGGCTTGGATGTGGGAACAGTGTGAGGAAGCCACAGGGCCAGCAATGCTGCATTCTGGGCATGTCTGGGCTAGAGGCGACCGGCAGGCAATGGACAACAGCCTAAGGTGCACCCGAGGGTCAGGCCAGGAGGAAACAGCTAGCATGCTGCCCACGTGGTTGCTATGAGCTGGGGAGGACTTCGTGGCAAGAAGACGTTAGAATAAGCAAAGGCGGGAATGCCTTGATAGAAAGGCCAGCGGTTCAGACACACAGCCACTCCATGGAAGAAAGGAGTGGCCGTCTGCTTCTGTCAGGACGCCAGCCCTGGAAAGCTTGTGGGGCAGATCCAATCTATCCTACAGGGCTGCTGTGAGTTAGAATCCTCCTGGTAGCAGTGGGACCTGCTGTGGGTTTTAGTACGGGCCTCTGTCTGGGAACTGCAGAGCCGAGGGGGCAGCAAGGAGCAGTAAGTGTGTGAAGACATCTCAAGGCCTCAAATGGAGGGTAAATGTGCCTGGAAATGGGACCCCTGCCACCCGTACGTTGTATTTCTGAAGAGTACCCCCCTGTTCTGCATTTAGGGCCCATTGCTCAGGCGGCCGTGCACCCACATAATGGAGGAGCCGCGGCTCGACATTAAAGCCAGGCTCTGGCACCCCAAGAATGATGGCAGGCTCGTGCAAGGTCTACACTGTGGACAAGAAACACACGCGCTAGCCTGGCCCTTTAATGACGACTCTCCCAATCCATTTGGTCAGCAGGGCTGGGAGCCAGGAGCTCCATCGGTCCAGGCTCAAGAACCTGCCCTCAGGGCCTACGTTCAGCAGGTTTGCATGTGTGGTGCGTGCACACACACACCAGCCCCAGCCAGGAGCACACAGTGACACCCTCCTCTTCCCATCTGCATGTTACGAGGCTGGCCTCCTTCCATCAAAATTCATCTGAACCAAGGGAGCTCTGGAGTGAAAGACCCGCCCCCAAGATGGGACGGCCAGAAACTTTCTCTCCGCCCTCTGAACAGTCTGTTCTTGTCATGAGACCAGGGAACCAGAAAGGGCCTCGCCAGTGCACATTTTGATCCGGTCATTGGATTGGATTGAGCTGGCTCAGCCAGGGCTAACACGGCGACATCAAAACAGATCTGTATTTGCAAACTGGGAGCCTTCCAGAACAATAACCAGCCTGACAAAAACTACAGGATCTCGATCAAAAGGCAAGAGAGGCAGACATTTTATATTCTCACAGAGACTAAGCTTTCTGGAGCACTGGACGCTGGATAAACCTGAGATCATCTTTAAACCTTAAATCAAAAAGATCTCCTGAAGCTTTCTTTAAATCAAACCACAGTTTAGCTGACTTAGCTAGGAACGCCTGCTTGTGTGGCATCAGTAGACCCCAAACAAACAAACAAGGTTATTGTTGAGATGAGGGGGGCTGGAGCAGAGACCCCAAACCCATCTGTAGACAATGGGACATCCCCTCACAGAAGGGTCGCAAGGAAGGGATGAGTCAACCCGGGCTCAGTAAAGAAAGCATCGAGAAAACACATTATATTCCTCTGGTTCCTTGAGGCTTCCTCACCCCCAACTGTCATGACCCCAGTCCTGCCTTTCACTCTGGGCCAGACCAGAGCATGCGCACAAGTACAGATTAGAGCTCACAACACACGGAATCCAGGTCAGATGAACCCCTCAGGAACAGAAATAGGTGTAGCGATACCAGGAGGGTAGGGGGCAGGTGGGGAGAGGAGGGGGGAAGAAACTGTAGGGGAAGGGAGACAGTAGTCGGTGTAAGATATGAAAATAATAATAGTTGATAATTGATCAAGAGGTCACGCTGGTGTGGGGTGGGGGAGGGAGGGTAAAAAGAGGAGCTGATACCCAGGGCTCAAATAGAAAGCAAATGTTTAGAAAATGATGATGGCAACCTATGTACAGATACGCTTGGTGCATCTGATATAAGGATTGTTATAAGAGCTGTAAGAGCCCCAATAAAATGATCTTTAAAAATAGGAAAGAACCCCTGCCTAGGGGCCTTGTGCTCTCTTCAGAACTGTCCACGTGGGATCAGAGGGGCCGCCACGGCTCGAGAGTGTAAACCGGGATCTTGGGGGTTGTGTTCTCCGGAGACTGTGAACAGTTATACACACGAAGACAGACCCCGTGTTGCAAACCACTGTGTGGAGCCTGGCGAGCCGGTGTGCATTCAGTGCAGCTTTCCAATGATGAAGAACAGACAACAGCAGGCACTTCACTACCGCTGGCCAAGCCCTGGGTGCCCGCATGTGTGCGCAGCGGGGTGCAGACGAATCTGCCGCCAACCACAGGCAGCCTTACCTGACTCCTGGAGATAGCGGTACACCAGGAAGTTCACCTCGTCGCTGGTTATGCTCATCTTAGCCTCACCTCCCGAGGATGAGGACTCTGCGCCGCGGGAGCCGCCCTCTGTGGGACAGGGGGAAGAGCAGACAGAGCGTGAGGCGTCGGTGTGGGCGTGCAGGGAGAGGTGCAGAAAGGACCCTGTACAGGAGCACATGTGCATGAACACACAAAAAGGAGCGCGCACGCGCACACACACACACACACACATACACACGAGTCCCGGGTTTCCCAGACAAGACGCCCCATGCATCTCATGCAGCCACAACCCAAACTGAGGAAATCGAGAAGGAAACTGCCAGGTGGCCGCTCTGTTTTCGCAGACCAGCGGCTTCCAGGAGTCCTGGGCGTTCCTGGTACTCCGTTTTCCCATGTCCTTTCTGAAGCACGCATGCACGCACGCACATTTTCACTACACACTTTCTGAGATGATGTGCAACTTTTATAATCAAACACACACGCACGAGCGGAGGCAGAGCACGAAGCTCCGCGGAGGCAGAGAGAATCCCCTCATTTGTATTTTCCAGCAGGACACTCTGCATGTGTAGCTGAAACTTCTTGCAGCTACCCTGGAAGGCCGGCCAGAGGGTGAAGGAAGGAGGGAGGGAGGGATAATAATGGGGCCTCTGGGTCTAAAAGGCCCTTTGACATGGACGTGCTGTCAGTACTGATCATTCCCTGCTGAAGACGTCCTCCAGTCAGCTCTGATGCATAGCAACGCTGTACACAACACAACCAAGCAGCTCCGGTCCCCCTCCGTCCTCTCAACTGTTCCCATGCAGGAGCCCCCAGCCACAGCCATGGTGCCCATCAGTCTCGTGGATAGAGGGCCTCCCTCTCTGTCACCACCCCTCCACTTTACCAAGCTGGACGGCCTTCTCCAGGGACTGGTCTCTCCTGACAACCCATCCAAAGAGGTGAGACAGAGTTTGATTCTTGAGAAATGCATTTGATTCTTGGGAAAGTTTGTGTTGGCGGACTCCTTTGGTGGAGACCAGCAGTCGGCAAACCGTGGACCCCGAGCCTGTGCACCTCTTTCGGTGTGTACGTGTGGTTTCGACATGACATTGGAAATGAAAACAAGACCACCCTGGTGGAACTTCAAGGATCTTGTTCAGATCGCGGCGATTTTGCCTGTTTGTAAAAACAATATTAATGGCTCTCAAATGATTTATGATTGGCTGTGAGGGACAGGATTGGCTCTTCCGTCTCAAAAGTTTGTGGACCCCTGGTCTAGACCTAACTTTGATTCTGTTACAGAAGCAGTGAATCAGAAACCTCAGGAGAAGACCATTCAAAACCTGAGTCCGTTTGGAAATGAAGATGGCAATATACGTACAAATATGCTTGTTACAATTGATGGACGGAGGATCATAAGTGCTGTAAGAGTCCCCAAAAAATGATTTTTAAAAACAAAATACATTTAAAAAATTTTAAACAACCCCCAAACATCTTGGGTCCCTGTCATTGTATCGCTTCTTCTCACAAAACTCCCTGCCATTGAGTCAATGTTGACCCTTGGTAGCCCTGCAGGGCAGGGCTGGGCAGAGCTGGCCCTGTGGGCTCCCAAGACGATCACTCTTCAGGGGTGAGGAGTCTGAGGTCATCCGTACGCAGACCCAACCTTTTGGGGGAGTGAGAACGGGATGACGCATCAGTCCCAGTTAGGGGGGCTTCGACTTTGGCACGCGTGCACACACGAGGGGGCTCCCACACATTTTCAGGGAAGTGGAATGGAAAGATGAAGGTGTTTGCCACACGGTGTGGTACAGCTCCCACGTGTGTCCGTCCACCTGCGGAGTGTAGTGCAGTGGGCTATCGTCTGTTCACCCCATCAGGCGCACAATCTGCAACCACGCACGCGGTCTCACACCTGGCTCATGATCAGCCGCCGCATACATCTGCAGTCAGACACCCACACACACAGTGCCAGGCAACAGATAGCACAGCCCAAACCCGCCCCCACTGGCAGGGAGACCCAGGGACCCCTATGGGACTAAACAGGCTGGCACTGCCCTGCCGGGTTTCCAAAGCCACCAGACCTTGACGGGAGCAAACGACCTCTCCTTGCAGCTACTGGGCTCAGCCACCTGGTGTCCAGTTAGCAGCTCCACGCTGAACCACTGAGCCAGCGGGCTCCTTGAGTTAAGGGACAGGAGCCAGGCAAAAGCTACACTCGGGAGCTCAAGTACAGTCAGCTTTCCAGGTGAGGTAACTTCTTGGTGTTGGCCAGCAAAACCCAGTTTAGAATGTGGCGTCTCCTGGGAAGGACTGGGAGCCCAATGTTACAGTGGACATACACTGGTTGTTCATGGTAAGGCCAGCAGTTCAAAACCTCTAGCTTCCCTGAGGGAGAAAGACGGGGCTCTCTGCTCCCAGGAAGGGCCGCAGTCTGGAAAAATCACCAGGGCAGTGCCAGCCTGGCCTGTAGGGACACTGAAACTGCGGATTCTGCTTTTCAGTGAGGCCCAGAGAGGTAACCCACAGGCTGTCCGGGGTCCCGATCTTTCAGAGGCTGTTAAAGTCTGTCTCCTAATTCAGCAGTGAGGGCCCAGCCACCAGGAAGGACTTTGCCACCATGGAGCTGATTTCGACTCACAGTGACTCTGTGGGGCAGTGTCAAAATGCCCACGGGGCTGCCAGGCTGTCACCATTCACGGGAGAAGACCACCAGGTTCCCCTCCGCAGTACCAGGGTCTTCACACCTGCCCTCTCTCACTGCCGTTTAGTTGATGCTGACTCATCGCGACCCTACAGGTCAGGGTAGAACTGCCCCCATGGGTTTCCGAGACTGTAAGTCCCTATGGGAGTAGAAAGCCCTGCCCTGTCTTTCTCCTGCAGAACAGCCGGTGGTTTCGAACTGCTGAGCCTGTGGTTGACAGCCTAACGCATAACCAACAGGCCACCAGGGCTCTGCTAGCCCATTCACTGCCTCTCCATTCAGCCAGGGGTGCGAGCTGCAGCCTCTTCCTGAGACAGGAGGTGAGCTTCCTGCACAAGGCACTGGGAGTCTGGTTGGACGCAGGTGTGCTGTGCAAGGGGACTCCAGGTGAGGCCTTACCTTTAGGGGGGCGTCATGGGTACTCCTGGGCCCCAAGAACTCCCCAGCACGGGATCCCGTAGCCGCAGAGCAGCGTCCTGGTGAGAAACGGGGAGACGGCTGTGTTTCAGTGAGGTCTTCGCCTCTCACACTCCTGTTCTTTGTCCTGGGTGCGCGCCCGTTCAATTGGAGGGCCTTTTGTCTCTCTCAGCCCAGGCCCCGCTGCCACCGCCACCTCCCTGCTTCCTGCCCCCACCCTCAGCAGGCATCAGGAGGCTGTGCAGAGTGGAGAGAAAACAGATGGAAACAGCTGGCCGGGCCTCACGGCGGATGGACGGGTGAACAGACGTGGGAACTCTGAAAGGCACCTCCTCCAAACAGGTGAAATTGACAGGCGTTCGGACTGTGCTGCTCTCTCGAGCGAGGACACCCCAAACACTTCCAAGACATGCAGCCGAACCCACCATCAGCCAGGCAGTCGCAGACCACCAGACAGCGCTGGCCCAAGGGCACAGGTCAGAAGGCAGGAGAGGGAGGTGGAAGAAAGAGGGAGCAGGGGAGGAAGTAGGCACGTGCTGGGGCACCCAGGCCATCGCCATCCGCGGGATGGAAAAAACGTGTCAGCCAAACTGACAGCACATCTGTCGGTCCACATCATCTGCAGATGACCGAGCTCCTGTGCAGAGCTCCCAGACGCTGTCCCACTGTGTGAGCCAAGGTTCCCAAAGCCACAGCATCCACAATGACAGGGACCCATTCGTCACCATGCTCACAAGCACTGACAGCAGCTGTCCAGTCTTTCTGCCTCTGGCCACGCCCCCCAAAAACCCAGCCTGGCTAACACAGCTCATTGTTCCAATCAGCGGTGCTGTGTTCTGTGTGCAGCGGTCCCCTGGGAGTCAGAACTGGCTCCACAGCACCCAGCAGCAGAGGCAGGAGTAGCAGCAGCAGCAGCAGCAGCAGCAGAGGTAGGAGCAGCAGCAACACAAGCAGAAGCAGCACCAGAGACAGCAGCAGCAGCAGAGGCAGGAGCAGCAGCAGAGACAGGAGCAGCAGCAGCAGCAGAGGCAGGAGCAGCAGCAGAGGCAGGAGCAGAGGCAGAGATAGGAGCAGCAGCAGCAGGCACGCCCTCATATCTCCCCCCTCACTGGGGCTCTGTTTGCACTGATTCTGGAAGGGTCTAGGTTTGGATGATTAAAAGTTGTTTTTCAAATGGTAAAAACACACTAAGACACCCTTGTATATGAGCGATGTTTTTTGGTTGTTGTTGTTTTCTTGTTGCTAAGGGGCACTGAGCTGCTTCTGATCCTGCGCCATCCACAGGATCGTTATGTCTGAGCCCCTGGGTGTAGCCCCTGGGTGTATCCATCTCCCTGAGGGCCTTCCTCTCTCCCGCTGCCCCGCTCCTTTACCAAGCACAACGTCCTTCTCCAATGTGCTGGTGACATCATCTGGTGTCAATGTGAGTATTAAGAGGGAAGGGGTGGAGTTTAGCTTGTCAATCAGGTCGTAGCTTGATGACCTCATTTGGAGGCTCTAGGGAGATAAATAGCTCGCTGGAGGTGGGACACACGCTCAGTCCCTGCGAGACATTTTTGTTGACAAGCCACATGGAAACAGGCTGATGGCAGCCAGAGCCCTGGAGCTAAAGGAGCCATGTGCCAGCACTGAGATGCTTACAATACCACTGGATCCACAAGACGTCCCACCCACAGGCCTCTGATTTGGCGTCACTGCATATGTTTCATGAGTCTAAAGAGGGAATTATGGACTGGTACTGGACATATGGGCTAATATTGGACTTATGGACTTAATCTGGACTGGGCTGGGATGTTTTCTCAATATTACTCTTGTCTATAAAGCTATTTCTTATACACAGATGAGTGTCTCTGGATTTGTTTCTCTAGTCTACCCGGAATAATACATTCAAGGGCAGGTCTCTCCTGACGACATGCCCAGAGTGTGTGAGAGGAAGCTTAGCCAGCCTTGTCTCCAAGAAGCACTCTGGCTGTGTTTCCTCCAAGGCTGATCTGTTTGTTCTCCCCTAAACCAAACTCACTGCCATCTAGTTCATGTCCACACAGAGCGACCTTGCAGGACAGGGCGGAACTGCCCACCCCTGTGGGTGTCTGGGACTGTGACTCTTTACAGGAGTCCAAAGCCTCATCTTTCTCCCAAGCAACAGCTGGTGGTTTTGAACTACCAACCAATGTGTAACCACTGGGCCACCAGCAGCAGTTGGTTAACAATATTTACCTTCCATCCCACTGAACCCCACACTTCCCGGAGGGCCTGCATCACACACTCTCATCATCTACAAACAGAAACAAAAGAGGCCCCTTCTCCTCGTCCCAGTGCCTCCCTGAGCCTTCCTCAGTTGACAGACTATGACCCGCAGGCCAGACTCGAGGTGGTTGGAAGTATCCCCATGCGTGAGCATGTGAGAGCCCACAGAAGTGTGCAGAGAAGACCCCAGCTCATATTCTCACGGGGCTGCCGGGAAAGGAGAATAAACAGCTTTCCAGAGACAAGCCCCTTGTTTCACTGCAGAATGTATTTTTTAAAACCCACGGGGACAGAGAAGAGAGAACAGTACTGGGATGGAACTGAAGCCCACCCACAGCTCTGCTGACAGAACTGAAGGGCGGGGGAGAATGTGAGTCCCGTGATCAATGGGAAAGCACATCATTTCTAAAACAGAAACAAAATAGAAGGACCCGGGCAACACGCTACACTCAGAAGCCAGGGTCAAAGCCAATTGCTGTTCTGGGAATTAGGCAGTAAATTACTACAAGGGGTGGGGGTGGGGACAGCCTTAGGATGACATTGGTAAATACCATCGTCCAGTGTCAAACTATGCACAGATGTCCCATATGAACAGTAAGCTCCAAACTGCCAGCCTGCCAGTGACAGCAGTCACATGTGTAACAACTCTGCATTTAATGAACACACAGGCAGCTCTGTTACAGACAGGCACCTCTGTTATGTACAGACAGGCAGCTCTGTTACACACACAGAGACAGCTTTGTAACATACAGACAGACAGCTCTGTTACATACAAACAGACAGCTTTGTTACATGCAGACAGGTCTGTTACATACAGACAGCTCTGTTACATACAGGTCTGTTACATACACACAGCCAGCTCTATTACATACAGACAGCTCTGTTACATGCAGACAGGTCTGTTACAGACCGTTCTGTTACATGCAGACAGGTCTGTTACAGACAGCTCTGTTACATATATACAGACAGCTTTGTTTTACACACACACACACACACAGACAGCTCTGTTACATGCAGACAGGTCTGTTACAGACAGCTCTGTTACATATATACAGACAGCTTTGTTACATGCAGGCAGTCCTGTTACAGACAGCTCTGTTACATATATACAGACAGCTTTGTTACGCACACACACACACAGACAGCTCTGCTACATATATACAGACAGCTTTGTTACACACACACAGACAGCTCTGTTACATGCAGACAGACAGCTCTGTTACATATAGACAGTTCTGTTACATACAGAGAGCTCTGTTACATACAGACAGCTTTGTTACATGCAGATAGCTGTATTGCATACATACAGTGAGCTCTGTTACATGCAGACAGCTCTGTTACATACATACAGACAGCTTTGTTACATACAGACAGCTGTTACATACAGATAACTCTGTTACATATATACAGACAGCTTTGTTACATGCAGATAGTTGTGTTGCATACATACAGAGAGCTCTGTTACATGCAGACAGCTCTGTTACATACAGACGGCTTTGCTACATGCAGGCAGCTGTGTTACATACATACAGACAGTGCATCCAGCTGTGTTACATACATACAGAGAGCTCTGTTACATGCAGACAGCTCTGTTACATACAGACGGCTTTGCTACATGCAGGCAGCTGTGTTACATACATACAGACAGTGCATCCAGCTGTGTTACATACATAGAGAGAGCTCTGTTAAATGCAGACAGCTGTGTTGCATGCAGTTCGAAAAGAAGCCTCAAAACCCAGAGTCTCTGCTCCGACACAGTGGAAAATCACAAACTATGGCCCTGAAAGGCAGCACTGACTTTTCTCTGTGCGCCGAGTGGGAGGTTGTGTATGTTGTGCGTGTGTGCATGCGTGCACGTTGCACTGAAAATCCCGAATGGGTAAGGCCATACTGGACGGACAAAAGCATGCTAACCAGACAGAGCATCCATGTACTGCCGGTAACCAAAAGCCAAAACTGAACTGGGTGCCATTGGGAGAACTACCCTGTGGGTGTCCGAGACAGCCCCTCTTCACAAGAGCATAAAGTACGTCCTGGCTTTGTTCCCTGGAGCAGCTGGTGGTTTCGAACCGCTGACCTTGCAGATAACAGCACAGCGCATAAGCACTGGGCACCTGGGCGCCTTCTGTCAGCACCAATACCTGGCCACTGCCCGGGCACCACTATTAGAACCAGAACAGAACTACTGGTGATAACGACAGGGGGCAAGAAATTGCACATCTTGCCAAAGCACGATAACGACAGGGGGCAAGAAATTGCACATCTTGCCAAAGCACTTCTGTGCACTGCAAAGTGCTTTTCACCAAAGCCGGACTTTTGTCTCTCTCCCTCCCTCTCAAAATGCTGAATAAAAACCCGTCGGCAGTGACACCACGGGGCATACACCTGTGTTTCCTCAGAAGGTGTGTTTGAAGACAGCCTGCAGTGCCAGGGACGCTGAACTTAACGGAACGCTGCCACTCAACGAACAGGGTACAACTGACGCACCGTGACTTGAGGCAGGGCCCTCTTTGTCCATGTGAAAGATCCCGGTCCTATCACCAGCCAGTGTACCCGGCCTGTCAGTGGAGGCTGGCAGGTTGCTGGGACATGCAACCTTCCGGCAGAGATTCCAGGCTCAGAGACTAGCAAGAAAGGCCTGGCCATACCCGAATCAGGCGACAAGACCCAATGGAGCACATCGGATCTTGCCCCATCCATCACGGGCAGGATGGGATCATCCTGATGTACCCAGACGGCCTTCCCAGATCGAGGGCTAACGAGACAGTAGCTCACACCCCCCAACCGCTGCACACATGGGCACGCTGCACGG